CGTCGTAGAGCCATTTGAAGCTCGGGACGCAGTGCAGGGGTACTTGCTCTCGTACCCCTGAACTAGAGTTCATCTTCGACTCTACTTTGAAGAGTCCTTTATCTAGGATCTCTTTCTTAGCCTTGGGGGGAACAGGCGGCATGCTGCGGCCGCCTGCAAGAAGGGGCGGATTCCTGTTCCACCTGTTGAAGCGCTTGTTTAGCTCTGTGTCTGAACTCTCAATGATGAGGAAGGTGCTCCGCCAGTCCTTCCATTTGTTTGCTTTACCTCTCGTCATGAGGTAGCCCCTGTGGCTCGTCAATTGATACCAGCCGGTACCGCCTGCCTTAGGGGTCCGGCTGAGGTAGTTCATGTGGGCGAAAGCCTCGAAGCTCGGCTCCACCCCGTGCAGTTCGCACCCGGCCACATAGCCGAGTACGTTGACCCAAGAGTTCGGGGCTAACTGCCATAGCCCCAACTCATACCCATCCAAGATCCGCTGAACAGCCGGATGTAGTAGGAAGCGCAGCCCAGCCTTGATGGCCGCCTCGTAGCAGCCAAAGCAGGCGCTATCATAACTGGTACCAGCCGGCCAGACGACTGTGTCTTCTGGATCCGGCACAAACACTAAAAAGCTGGGGCCCATTGTGTGGTTTGCGATAAAGCTCTCCACTTTCTCTTGCATGGCCGTGATCCGGCCCCGAGGTACCGTGCAGTAGTAGGGGGTATTTTGCTCTCGGTGAGAGGCGGATGGCTCCGCCCAATCGTCCCCCTTTTCAACTGCGTGAGAAAGCCTCGCCTCTTGCAGGCGACTGTTTTTCTCTTCTGTGTCCAGAGAAGCATGGCCAGAAGAGCTAGACTCGGAATCGTCCCCTGACGAGTCCAAAGAAGACGACTCCTCCCCTCTCCCGGAGGGGCCCGCCTCCTCTCCTTTAAAAGGAGCCGGAGAGAATGAAGAATTGTCAACTGTAAAATGGGAAGGGGTCACTTTGACTCCTCCCTCAGAACTGCCGGCTTTCAAGCCGCTTTGTTTCACTTCCACATCTGGCGCCTGGTCAGATGTTTCACTAATCGGCACCCTGTGGGAGGAGCCGTCTGAATTTGAGATCCTGGCAGTCTTTTTTGTTCTGGCCATCATGCTCTGCATAGACACAGATACAGTCGGACTTCGTATAAAGGGCAAAGATGGGTCCGGAAAAGGGCAGGCGGCACTCCTAGTCCTAGATTCAGCCGTCCCCGGTGACCGGCTGATCACTAACCTAGGTCGTGTCATGTGCTTCCGTGGTGCCATTTCAAAAAAGAATAAAAAGAAAATTAAGAGTAAAAGAACCGACAGTTACCTGAACGAGTGGCGATTGATGAAGTTCTGAAAATCCTTTGCAGTCGGCTTGTCAGAGCAGGCGGTAGGCAGAAAGGGTCCAAAATGTCAGAGCAAGTTCAGGGGTCCGAATGTTCTCTCAAAAAGTTCTCAAGTGTGAAAATAACTGAAGTCAATACTCCTTTATATAGGCGAAGTGAGAAGGCGAAGGGTCACTTCCAGAAATCAAAATTTGGGCAGGAGAATCTCTCGGCCTTTCGCCGAGTGACACCTGTAGCAGGTCGTCGCCTGTTACAGTGCGACACCTGTCACAGGTAACACGTGACCAGTCACGTGCCACCTGTGAGGGGCAAATGATTAGGGGATTTTGCTCCCACCAATCGGAATGCGCCACGTGGGCCACTCAGGTACTGCCAAGTGTCCCCCAGTTGGAACTGTCAGGGCTTGCCACGTGGCACACGCTTATTCGTCCACCTTGGACCTATTATGTCATGACACGTGGCATACTCCATGCCTAATGGAGAAACCGGCCACCCAGGCCCAACTTTCGAGGGAAGCCCAATCAGCCCTAGGTTAACCTAAACCTAGGACGGGCACGTTTCCCAAGGTTATAAATACCTCCCTTAATCCTCATTAAGGGAGATTACGCTAAAAACTCACATTAAACACTCTCACCTAGAGAGACCCAATCACTTTAATTTCCGCATTAATTACTCCTTAATCAAGTACTAACTTGACCGTTGGAGGCGGAGCTCCCACCACCAGGAGTCTCCGTTGTTTTGCAGGTACAGGCGTCCGGTTCCAGTCTCGGAATTGTAACTCTCCCGCAGGACATCAGAAAACCCCGAAACAAAAACCATTAACCTATGACTTACTAATGCAGACGAACATAATAAGACTCAAAATAATGCAAGACACTGTACAGTGTGGATTTAATATCCATATTCTATTGGACTTCTGGTCCACGATAAATTTTGATCATTATAACTATGTCGACATCAAAATGGACATATATTTGAGATCCCTTATTTACTAGTCCATTATTTTACGCATATGCGTTTTATTCATCGGTTCCATTATATACCGGTATCATTATATTCTTTGAAATTCAATTTTCATTTGCGTTCTATCTTACAATAATGATATCTGGATATACCTTCAATTGGTACCATTACATAACTTTTCTCATATCATAGGCCATCTATTATAGTTCAGATATCTATACCGCCTATTTTTGGGGTAATTTATACAATGATATTAATATATTATAATTACACTTTACAAGTATTAACTGCACTATCTTGCCATATATCACATATTTATATTTGAACCGATTACACAACCTACACTTCAGTTGTAGCGAACCAAAGAAAATTAGCAAGATATTTCTCAATATATAATTTTACAAAAATTGGCACATAACACTATAAATTATCTTTATAGAGATCAACTAATTATAATCTTACAATTTTGCCAACTTACTCCATTTCTTCTCCCCCTTAAGTTGGTAAAATATCTCAAATATTGGGGCGTCGAATTATTCACCAACTTAGTACATTATTTCATGTGTAAAAAGATTTCATTCTATATATAGGAGGAATTCAATTATTTATTTTTCACAAAATTCCTCTCATAGAAAAGTTATATTCACCAAACTTTTTTTTATGTCTTCTAGAGAACATTTTATAGGAAAATATACTTTCTTAATTAATTTATAATGCACATTGCACATGTTAATAAATCTTTCATAATTTGTTCTCTTCTGGAGATCAATATCAGTGGGGGAGTCATGTATTGTGCAGTTGTCTATCTAACTTTCTTATTTATTATGTGCTAACATACGATAGCCCCAATCAAGAGAATTGTTATACAAACATAACTTGCTTGTAATTTCAGTAGGTGGTGATCTTCTGGATCACTATACTAATTACTCAAAATTTCAACATACAACTCGTATTTGGTGAGCTTCTGGACGCCTAATAGTTGACAAGGTTATTCTAGTAAACTTCTGGTCACCAATTACTCTTACATTAAAAAATTTTTTATTCAAACTAATATAACATCTCTGGACTTTTCCTTCAACACAAACTATTAATAATTACAATCAAATATAGCTCAATCTCAATGTTATGTATTGCCTTCTATTCATTTTATATATTTAACATGAGAGAGAGTCAGCACATTTTTCCTTTCATTTCAAATGAAACTTCTGGTTTCCAAAACGGGTAATTATCAAACTCGGATGACCTAATTTAATTATCACATCGAATCATTTTATCTAAATTTAAATTATGGTCAGTTTTCCAATACTAGTGATCACTTTACTAGACGACTATATACATGGCCATGAATATGATGTGATATATATAAGAACACTAACATGTGTGTCTTTTTATACTTGGAAAGACAATCAACCAATATGTTATCAAATAACAACTCATATTCTACTGGAGTTTTAAGTATAATCTTGATACATGCTAATCATGTTGGACATTTTACACTATTCTGGAGCACTTTATACAATCGTATCATGAATTAATTTTATTGGACATATTTCCCTTTTGGAGGTAGATTAGAAATGCATAACTTTTTCGAACATTTCAATTATTTCTCCGTTCACCTTCAGAGGATTTTTATCATTGCAACTTGTTAGTATACCACGCTTCAGGCGTGCTTTAGATTCATTAACAATCGGTATTGTCCTTCTAGGACATCAAATTTAATTGGAGCATTTATAACTAGTATATAGCCATGACATTTATTCATATCCATCTTCAGGATGGTATCATGCTAAATATTTTATTATCATGTGGCCACCTTTATGTTTAAGCTAATATATGTATGCAACTGACCATACATTAATATATTTTTATATTCATAATGTGCAAGGATTAAATGAAACAATAGAATAAATGTCATCTCCCCCAAATCCTTGCATATGGGGTATAAAATTAATCCAACGACTTTTAAATTTCTTGCATATTTTAAGCCATTAATTCTTTTAGCAATTCATGTATCAAGAAAAGTAAACTTATTCTTATAAAGCTCCAACTTATTCCTCTTGCTCAATTAAATTAATCTTTAGAATTGAATCTCGTATATATATGAGCACAATATATATATATATATATATATATATATATATATATATATATATATATATATATATATATATATATATATATATATATATATATATATATATATATATATATATATATATATAAATCAAGTTTCTCACAATGTCTTATGTTAGTAATTTTCTAAATGGGAACTGTATTTAGGGACGGAGAGAGTATATATGTATTATTCTCTCATGACATTATATTTATAGAATCACATCATTATTGCGAATGAGAAATTATTTAAGTAATGACATACTTTAGAAACTCATAAGAAATTTCAAGGTCATCCATAAAACTTATATGACATATGCACAATAATCCGACTTATTCATCACCCACATATTTACAAGTTCTATTCTTAACATGAAAACTAGAAAATTACCGTATAATGTAAGTCAAGAAATTAGTGCAACATCAAAAATATAAAATGTCCCAAAACAAAAAACTTATAAGGCATAAAATCATAATACTACTATTATCTTAAATAAGGGAACATAAAAATAAATGCAAACTAATCAAGTTTATTCGCCTAAGCATCATAATTTATTCAATTTTTTTTTTCATGAGAGGTAACGAAATCAACAACTTCTAATTAAATGGGTTGCATCACCATAATCGAAATCACCTTCGCCATCCTCGTACACCAAATTAGTTTCCACTTTCTTTCCTTTCTTATAAATTGATTGTTGATAAAGGTCTACAAGATGCTTTGGTGTACGACACACTCGAGACCAATGACCTTTTGCTCCACAACGATAACACATATTGGTCTCACTTTTTCCCTTTTCATCAATATTATCTTTACGTTTCCACTTCTTGTGGCAATTTGAATTACCTCCACGACCTTTACCAGATCCACGTCCACGACCTCGGCCACGCAATTGACTACGACCGCGACCTCGATCATTACTGCTAGAATGGTGTTTGTTTTTAGACTCTTTCCCATTATGAGATGTTGCATTCGCTTCAGAGAATGGAGTAGAGTCAGTAGGACGTGATTCATGATTTTTCATTAATAGCTCATTATTTTGCTCAGCCATGAGGAGACAAGATATCAATTTAGAATATTTCTTGAAAACGTTTTCACGGTATTGTGTCTGCAGGACAACATTGTTTGCATGAAAAGTAGAGTATGTTTTCTCCAACATTTCTGCATCCGTGACTTTCTCTCCACATAATTTCACAAACATAGTTGAGTTATATTCACTCACAGACTTAAAGTCTTGTAATCTTAAATGTAGTTAATCATAACGAGCTTTTAGTAATATCACAGTTTTCTGGTGGTCATACCTCTCCTTTAGATTACTCCAAAGGACTTGTGGGTCTTTAACAGTCAAATATTCATTTTTAAGTACTTCGTGGAGGTGATGACGAAGGAATTTAATAGACTTAGCTTTAGTTGCAGTATTACCCTCTTTAATTGTATCACCAAGTCAAATTGTAACGATCAAGTACTATACAAGTAGAAGATTAGAGAGAATAATTGACATGGATTGAACAGATCACCTAAATATTCATACGAAGTTAGGCAAACTGTATCAATATATTCACTCATAAATAATCAATACAAGTTAGGAAGATTATATCATATTGCGTCAAAAACATTCATACAAGTGTCGCTTTGGTTCTCATGCATTATTGCAATTACATATATACGTACCCTTTTTTTTTCAGCAAAAAAATAATTAATAATTGATTAATTATGTATAGAATAGAGTAAAAACGTACCTTTTCCAAGCAGAAAATCGTAAGGTTGCTATTTACTTCGTACGTCTACTCCCTTTGTATCACGTCTATTCTGCTTTGTACTTTTTTTTTATGGCTATGGTGCTGATAACGTGTTAAATATAGAGAAATATTTGAGAGAATTTTATTCAGTGTATACTTTCCATCTGTTACGGGATATATATATATATATATATATATATATATATATATATATATATATATATATATATATATATATATATATATTATCTAAGGATTCATCGGATAAGATCAAATACCCGTCTCTAGAGTATTCTAGATAGTACATGGATAATAGTCATCCACTTATACATCTATATCATAACATATTACTATTATTATTTTTTTGACAAAATTATTATTAGTATTTTATTATTATTATTATTATTATTATTATTATTATTATTATTATTATTATTATTATTATTTTGTATTATGTATCTTTTTGTCTCTCGTGATGTGAAATTTGTAAGAGATGTTTTATTTTTTGGTTGCCCCGAGGATGTTAATATAGTTCGAAATATTTGTAAAATGGAGGATGATGTTCATGTTGATTTTGCGGAACTTGCATTGACTGATGATGATTTTATTGCAAATAATGTTGAAAATGTGACTGAAATTATTAATGGGGAAGATATTAGTGAGCATCAATTGCAAGAACAGCAGGAGACAGCCTACTCCGCAAGCACCCTGCGGCAAAATGCTGCTGCCCGTGTCAATTGTAACACCTTCTCTGTGAATTATCAGAAATGCTGCAATTGCACATTCCAAACATAGCACATTATATCAATTGTAACACCTTCTCTGTGATTTATCAGAACTTTATTGCAGCAATTGTTCAATACAAGAATCCAACGTCTTTAAAAGAAGCTATGAAGTATGATGGGTGGCGCAAATATATGAAACAAGAAATTCGAGCTCTAGAAGACAATGACACATGGGCATTGGAATATCTTCCCCTGAGAAAGATGACTCTTGGGAGCCAATGGGTCTACAAGACCAAGTTTTTGTCTAATGGCAATATTGAGCGTCTCAAGTCTCGCTTGGTTATTGTGTTTGGTAATCATCAGAAATGGTATTGATTATGATGAGGCATTTGCTTCGATGGCCAATATGACAACAGTCAGAACTGTTCTTGCCATATTAGCCTTAAAAAAAATGGAAACTTCATCAAATGGACGTTCACAATGCGTTTCTTCATGGTGATCTTGATGAGGAGGTGTACATGACGTTACCTCCCGGATTTGAGAGTAAGGATCCCAAATTGATTTGCAGATTACGCAAGTCTCTATATGGTTTGAAACAAGCTCCTGAATGTTGGTTTGCAAAGCTAGCGAAGGCTTTAAAACAATATGGTTTTCTACAATCTAACTTGGATTATTCATTGTTTACATGTACTGAGGCTAGCTAGTATTCAAATAAATGTCTTGGTTTATGTTAATGATTTAATTATTATTTTTGGGAACAATTTCGCTGCTAGATTAAGGGGAATGGGGTGTAAAATTTAAAGGGGTAATAGTTATGGTCTTGTAAGCTTGGCCTGGATTGAGTTTAATCTTTTGGCCCTATCAAAATTTCCCCTCAAATGGGGCTAATATATTACCCAGCCCCCCTTAGAGTAACAATTACCCAATAACATTTTAACTTACCCATTTTCTTTGTTTCCATCTTGTTGCAACTTGTTCCAATCCTAGATTCTTTTTCTTCCTCCTTTCATAATTCATATCCATGAAGTTGTAATCTGAATTCATTGTGTTTTAAGATCTAGTATGTAAAGTGATTTTTTTTAATTAAATAATTTATTAATATTAATTTTCATTTATTATTAGTTTACTTCAATTTTGACCTTATTTTCATATATTAACAAAAATTATTGACTAATCAGTTTATTTCCAAAAAAAATTCACTTTAACTTGATTTCTTCAAGGTTTTTTTTTTTTTTTTTTTTTTTTTTTTTTTTTTTTTTTTAATTTTTGATGACAGACCAAATTGAATTTTGAATTACTTTTCTTTTTATTTATTTATTTTTTTTTTTAATTTTTCCTTTGGCAAGATTTTTAATGTGCGGTGTTTTTTTTTTTTTTTTTTTTTTTTTTTATGTTTTTGTTGTTCAGATTATTACAGTGTAATATTTGGATGAGTTTTTAAGTGATACTGTTTGTTTTGACTTCTTGAAAATATTTTGATTAATTTTATATTTGTAAATCATATTTTAATTTTATGATTTTATTGGATTATTCAAATTGAAATAATTTAAGAAAAAAAAATTATAACTGTAGGCGTCGTTCGAAGTGCGCCTACGTTAAAAGCATGTGGAGAATATGCTTGACACTCATAGGAAGTGGGAATTGATATAGTACGATTAGAGTCAAGGAAAGTAGGGAGACGCCAACAAGTTTTTAAGGAACTTGTAAACCGTTCACGGATCATAAAAGGCAACCACGATAAAGGGACAACGATAGGAAACAACGATTGACCCGTGAAGGTTACACCCCATTCATAATCCATGAGATTACTAACTCCATATGGTTCGGAACCACGAAAGGAGGATCGGGGATGATGGTATGAATTAAGTCATGGAGTCACATTCGCCCGTATTGGCCTCTACTCGATTCTTATAATGAAAAATATTCCTGCGATCTCAAAGGCATGCAAACAAAATATTCAATTTGCTCCAAACTATTATTATGCTAAATTGGTTGAATATTATTGCAACATTGTAGGGAATATTTCAAGAATTACCCAAAACTTGAACCCCACTATGATCATACACTTAAGTACGATGGCGTCCAAAGGGAAGGAAATAGAGTCACCAAGAGGTTTTAGGAACTTGTAAATCGTTCACAAGGTGAAGGTTACACCCCTTAACGATCCAAGAGATCGTTAACTCCAATAGGTCTGGAACCAAGACTGGAAGTTCGGGGATGAAGGTACAAATTCAATATAAAAGAGAAAGAACTCGCCCTAATAATAGGCCTCTACTTTATTCTTCTCGTATTCATGTACACTTTCTGACTAACATGCAATCAATAGGTTAATCCTAAACATGTTTAATCTATGTTGGTTGAATATTAATGCACAAACAAAACTATTATTGGTGATCACTTGAATTATAATCATGTTAACCCCTAACAAGATTATTAATTATCTTATTAAGCATGATTACTAGTACCAATTCCCTTTAAACATGCATAAAAGGCATGATCAAGAAATAACAATAAATATAAAGCAACATAATCACAATAATAATAATAATAATAATAATAATAATAATAATAATAATAATAATAATAATAATAATAATAAAAATAATAATAATAATAATAATAATAATCATCATCATCATCATAATTAAAATAATTATAAAAATAATTATAATCATGTTAAAGTATAATAATAGCAAAATCCTAGGCATGATACTTACAAGATTAATAACAAACCCTAGCATGTCACTAAGCAATAAAAAACAAAGCTTTAGCCTAACATGATACTAACATGCTATTAGGAAAGAAAATAGGAAGCATCATAGAAATCATAATTGATACAAGGAACTTATTCTTTACCCTAAACATATACTAAGAAAAGCATCCTAACATGACACTAGGAATCAAAATAATAACCTAAACATGATTTCTATATCATAATATCAATTAAACAATTCAAGCACTTACTTGGATGCCTCGTACCTCTTTCTAATAACAAAATACACATGTTTGTAAATTCAAGGAAAATATAAAATCGAACAATTGAATCAAATAATTGAAATAGAGATTTGGGACCAAACCCTCAAAAATATCAAACCTTTCACGTCAAGGGAGAAAGAATAAGCTATATTGCTTAAGAGAGAGAAGAGAAGAATTAGAGAATTCTTGGTAAGATTTGATGATTAAAAAAGGGGAGATATGACCTCTATTTATCGGAAAAAAGAGAGTAAAAAAATAAAGAAAAGAATCCGAATTCGAATCGAAATTAAACTCGATGGACATAAGCTTTTACGGATTTTGTTTTTATCATATCTTTTGATCTAGAAGTCCAAATAAGGCCTATGATATATCGTTGGAAAGCTCTTGAAGTCTATTTTCCAACCTAATTAAAAAAATATTTTGTATTAGGGGTGTCCATAATTCGGATAAAAACCGAAATCCAATCCAATCCAAACCGAATTATCAATTCGGATCGGATCCGAACTTTAAATCGGATCGGATCGGATTGAGATTTTTTGAAAATTCGGATTTTCGGATCGGATCGGATTGACCCTATTCGGATCCAATTAAAACCGAACACCAAAATTTAGTTACCAACATTTATATAATGGTCTGCTGTAGTTTATAATTGGGCCTTTTAAATTTAGCCCAAATACAGACTATATAACTAAAAACCCTAAATTTGCCTCTTTCAGTCTTCATTACTCCTCAAGACCTCAACGCCTCCTGACTCCCTCATTCCCTCAACTTATCAAGCGCTCTTTCTTCATCATCTATTCATCTCATGAAAATTTAAATCAAATCATTCCTTATTCTGATCTCACAATCCTAAACCACTTAAGGTAATTTGCTACCCTTCTTCTATTGTTTTTTTTTTGTTGAATTTCAACTAAATTTTTTAAATTTATTCGTAATTATACTTGCAGAGTTGCAGTATGTCGCGAGTCTCATGCAAAGGGGGGGTTGAAGCTAATAATGTTGAAGCTAATAATGCTGAAAGTAATGTTGATGTTGAAGTTACTTCAAACAACAAACCAAAGACAGAAAAGGGTAAGAGGAAGAGGATGAAAGACAGATCTGGGGTTTGGGATCACTTCGACAAAGAGGAAACGAGTAAGGGGCTAAATGCAGTCTGCAAGTATTGCAAGACGGCGTATAATTGTGACCCTAAAAAGAATGGAACCAGCCCTTTGTGGGCTCATATCTCTAAATGTCGTAAGTATCCCTATGATACTCCAAAAGAATCCAAGAAAATCTTACTTTCTTTTCAAAATGGTAGTAATAAAGCATGTGGAGGTATTAGTGGTTTGACTTATCAGAAATTTGATCCTGTTAGCATTAGAAAAGCACTATCTTTTATGGTAATTGTTGATGAACTGCCTTTCAAGTTTGTTGAGGGTCAAGGTTTTAAGTATTTCTGTAGTGTTATGGAACCTAGGTTTCATGTACCTTCTAGACAAACTGTAGCAAGGGACTGTTATGAGATGTTCTTGACAGAAAAAAGAAAGCTAAAAAATGTCCTAAAACGATGCAATTCTAGGGTCTCTTTAACAACAGATTTGTGGACTTCTATTCAACAAATCAATTATATGGTTTTGACTGTTCATTTTATCGATAATGACTGGAAACTTCAAAAAAGAATTCTGAGTTTTTGAACTGTTGCAAGTCACAAAGGTGAAGAAGTGGGTAAAATGATAGAGAAGTGTTTGCTTGAGTGGGAGCTTGAAGATGTTTTTTGCATAACTGTTGATAATGCGAGTTCAAATGACACTGCTATAGCTTATATGAAAAGAAAAATCAATGGTTGGAAGACAGGGGTTCTTAAATGTCGTTTCCTTCATATGCGTTGTGTAGCTCATATTGTTAATTTAGTTGTTGGTGATGGTTTGAAATGTGTTCATGATTCAATTATTCGGGTTAGACATGCTGTTAGGTTCATTAAGCAGTCTCCTGCTCTCTTGTTGAAGTTTAAAAAATGTGTTGCTGATGAAAAAACAAATAGCAAGAAGTTGTTGTGTCTTGATGTGCCGACTAGGTGGAACTCTACATATCTTATGTTACATGCTGCCCTTGCTTTAGAGAATGCTTTTGATAGATATTCAGAGGAGGATCCCCATTACAATGTAGAATTATATGACCGGGAAGGAAATGGACCCCCTACATGTGATGATTGGGCTACTGTTAAGAGGTTTTCTGAATTTTTACAATGTTTTTATGGACTTTGCATGTTTTTGGTTCTGCATATGTTACTGCCAATCAATTTTTTCATGAGCTTATTAATGTTGCTGGACTTTTGAAAGAGTTGTGTGCATCTAGGGATGAAAATATGAGATTGATGGCTTGTAAAATGAGGGAGAAATATGAAAAATATTGGGGGGATCCAGAAAAGATAAACTTGCTGATTTTTATTGTTGTTGTTCTTGATCCTCGCTATAAACTTGATTATGTTGAGTGGATGATCAGTGAGATTTATGATTCCAAGGTTGGTTTTGTACTCATAAAAAATTTGAGGGAATCTCTATATGCATTGTATGATGAGTATCGTGTTTTACCAACAACCGATACACCTAGAGAGGACTCAAGTGAGAGTAGGGATGATGCTCCCTTAAATGCTACTCAAAAGAAAGTTGATGTTTTGAAAAACAAGTGTAAGAAACAAAGGGGGAGAGAGGAGGAGAAATAAAGTTAGAGTTGGACAAGTATTTGGAAGAAGAAGTAGAGGAAGACTTTGATAACTTTGATGTTTTGGGATGGTGGAGGTTTCATTGCTCTAGATTTCCTACAATGGAAAAACTGGCTCGTGATGTCTTATCTTGTCAAGTCTCAATAGTAGCTTCTGAGAGTGCATTTAGCACTGGTGGACGGATTCTTGATCCATTTAGGAGTTCCCTTTCTCCTAGAGTTGTTGAGAGTCTTGTTTGTTCTCAAAATTGGTTGCCTGACTCCCCGAATTCATTAAATGTTGAAGAATGTTTAGAAGAAGTTGAACAACTTGAAGAAGGTGATTGCTAAATCTTTTTATTTTCTTGTTTAAATTATGTATTAATATTGTTATTGATTTTAATTTTAATTATTATTTGTTCTTTATTTTTTCTCTCAATATCAAGATTTGTGCAAGATATCCATTGCTGAGCCTGAAACAGTTGAGGTTTTAGACGACTAAGCTTCTGCCTTGATTAAAGAATGCTGGTGGGATGTTTTTCCTGCTGTTTGCTGCTGTTCGTTGCTGATTTTGCTGCTGTTTGCTGCTGATTTTGCTGCTGTTTGCTGCAACTTTTCTTCTTAAGTTGTTCCTGCTAGTCTTTTTTGTTGTAGTAAACTCTTAGTGTTGCTTTTAAGTTGTACTATTTATTTTGAACAATTTAATTAGTCTTGATGTTAAACAATTTATGTTAATCTTGACTACCGTTTATGTTATCGTATTAGTTTATTAGACGTTATAAATCAACTTAATTTAATTCGGATTTCGGATCGGATCCAAAATAACCGAATTTTAATTCGGATTGGATCGGATTGGATTGGAAGAGTAATTCGGATCGGATCGGATTGAAAAAATGAAAACCGAATTATAATTCGGATCGGATTGGATTTGGCCTAAATCCAAACAGAAAACCGAATGGACACCCCTATTTTGTATATTAATAGATATGTATGAAATAGTAGGACGGGCGTCTGTTTTAGATAAAGTTTTGTATTTCTTTCATATCTTTTTTGTTATAGTAGGACGGGCGTCAGTTTTAGATAAAGAAGAGATATTTTTCGTTAAACTAAAATGGAATGCATGTTTTTAAAAAATAGGGTAAGAAAATAAATATTTTCTAAAACAGAAAGAAGAGATATTTTAATAAAAACATTCTCATCACTAGACTTTTCACACTTTCGTTTTGTTTGATAATCAAATGACATGAAAGGTATTCATCACTAGGTTTGGTTTTGGGGAGACACAATTGGGTGTCTACGGAAGCCCCCACTTTGACTGAGTTTGGAGAAACACAAGTTTCAAAAACAAAAGTCAAAGTAGCGATAGGGACGGAGAATGATACAGAACGTTCTGCAATCCTAAATCATTTTTGTAACGCCGATACCTGCAAACTAGCGTTAGTTAAACATACAAAAAAGAGTTGAGAAACGCGTATCTTGCACCGTCGAGCACACGTCTCTGAGGGTAACTGATTTGTGTTGCATTTGTTGTTGTGACATCCTTCCACAATCTAGGGAACGCCATCTTGCTGTTTTGATTCTTACTCGTCTCTAAACAATGGAGCTTTTTTGATATGTCCACGCGTTTCTGAACAAAGAGCTTTGAATGATATGCCCATGCGTCTCTGAACAAAGAGCTTTGAATGATATGCCCATGCGTCTCTGAGCAAAGAGCTTATTTTTTTTTACGATCTTCCTCAAGCTAGGGGATGCCGCCTAAAGACTGCTACGCTTGTAACTAAAAGGAATGGTGTCCTTCGAACAAGTGTACTATTTCGTTAGTGGGTTTAGAACTATTAGAAAGCTAATATATTCAGTAAGGTCAAGTGATCGGAATGCTTGGGTGGAGGCCGCTTCCAATCAATAATATTAATGCATAATTAATATTACAGCTTAATCTTGACTGAACCCTTCGGGTCACACCCAAGCAACTAACGAACCGAAGCGACGAATTAATCCGGAAGGAATTAATAAGCCAACCGAGTAATTAATATTTAGATGTTGGGAATTCGAGCTAAGAGCGTCGAAACCGAATGTCGGAAGTCGAGTCGAAAAATAGTAAAAGATGAGACGTGAAAATAATAATAAATCAACAAAGACCTAAATACCCCTAGCATCGGAACACCGAGTGCTAGGGGGTATAAATAAGCTAGCAGCCCGCACCAAGTGCAGGGCTCTCTAGGAAGCTGCGGCTAGCTGCCCGCACCTAGTGGATGGCGTGCTAGCATGCAGCAGCTAGCAGCCCGCACTAGGTGCGCGACATGCTAGCAGAAGCTCTTGGCAGCAGTAGCCCGCACGCAAGTGCATGGAGTGCTGGTCCAGAGAGTGCGAACAATAGCCCGCATTTTGTGTTGTGGGGATGGCTGGGCAGAGAGAAGGGCAGCAGCAAATGGGAAGCCCACTTGGGTGCCTTGGTGCCCAAGTGGGAGTTACCAAGTGGCGCAAGGTGAGGGAGAGAGTGGGGAGCAAGTTTGGTCCCCCTCCTCCAAATGGTCCTCACCTAACCTCTCACATGAGCTTGCCACTTGTGATTTATTACTAGTTTGATTATTAATTTTATTTTAGCTTTAAAATAAAATGGGAAAATTAAATTCTCCAACATTGATGGGAGAGCTTTTCACACTCATGTATTTCCCTATAAATACCCAAGTTGGGGTATTGGGAAAAAGACTTGAGTAAGAGTTAAAAAAGGCATCACCATTGTGAAAACCTTTGAACTCATTAATTACTCGGGTTTTTGGTCGGGCTTTGCTAACCCCAAGGCATTGGATCATTTTCGGTGGTCGAGTTGTGGGTGGACTATCGTTGGAGGCCGTCGTAATTTCGAGGCTTGCTTTTGAAGTAAGAACCCCTTCCGGTTGGGCGAAGCACGCTCCAAAGGTAATCGTTTTATCTTAATCTTGTGATTAATTTAATTATGTTTATGATTTTATTTATTACGAGTGCGGTCTTTTATTTGGGTTTGTTTCCGTGGTGAGTCGGACTCACCAAACCCCAACAGTAACTGCCTCCAATTTCTGTTGTGATAGTCTTCTGGAAGCCAGAGAATACTATCGAAGATTGCTTCGCCTGAAACAATCTCCTACCGCCTTGTGATCATCTTCCGCAAGCCAGGGAACATGATCGAAGATTTCTTCGCCTGAAAATTATTAAAGACCACTGCTTGTTGATCCTTAATGTTGCTTGAATTTTACTATTGATGCTTTGGGTGATGACAATCCTCTTTTCTTTGGGAATAGTTGCCAACACAACTCTTGTATGATGTATGACGATCCGATTTAGGGAAAGTTGTCAATGCCACGTAACAAGCCATCCTTGGAAATGTTGCTACGATGAAGCGACAATCCGTATCTCAGAAAATTTGCCAAAATCCAATTTTGGGAAAAGTTGCAAATGTTTATAACAATTTGTTATAAGAATCTTGCCACGATCGACAATCCACATCTTGGAGCATAACTCTTGAAAGCAATACACCTTGGAAGTTTACCAATGTTATGCGACAATCCTTTTAGGAAAATATTGCCACAATCGACAATCTGTGTCTTGGAACATTTGCAAAAAAGAGTCGACCGACAATCCACTTCGGGAAAATTTGCCACTTACTGAAATGAATGAAAATCCTCGTTTGAGGAACCTTTGCCGAAATTTATGATGAGTAGAGACCCACGACAATCCTTTGGGAAATTTTACCATAGGGAACTATATGTATGACAATCCAATCTCGGAAAACTTGCTAGAGATGACAATCCGAACTTGGCAAAAATTGCCAAATAGATAAGGAGCACGACAATCCACGCTTGGAAACTTTGCCAGAGATGACAATCCAATCTTGGAAAAATTGTTGTTGAAGTAAATGCGCGACAATCCACATTTGGAAATATTGTCAATTGGGGATGACAATCCAATCTTGGAAAAATTGTCGTATAAGTGCTTTCTTTTGAACCGATAAGTTGTTGCTTGTAATGAGCCAATGCTTAGGCGCTTAAGCTAAGTGAGATGATCGTCGTCAGGTCAATCACTTACGGCGATTGTAATCGAGCCGACTACTAATCATGTCAATTTGCTTATAGGTGCTAACTGGCGTACCAAAGAACCCAAAATTGATGTATGAGGTCCGCATAATCCAATATGGGGCCATGTATCCCGTCGCTGCATCGACGCTCGCCAGAACATATTGTTGCCGCGTTCTCGCTCTGTCGCCAGGCGACATATTTTGTTGCCAGGCGACAACCTTGTCGTCTGAAGCTGGAGTCAGGTTTTCATTCGCGGCTTTTCGAAAAAAAATCCTGGAATGTTCTTGCTCACTGGAATGTACCTGTATTTATATTTTGGACTATAGGATTTTGCTTATCTTTCTTTTGGGGTTGACCTAAGACATAGTGTTGCTTGACTCATTGACTTGACACGACTCAATGTATAAACTTGACTCACTGTGATTGACTCGACTCGAGGTGACTCGTGTGTGCGTAGTGTTGACTCATGAAACTCAATATGTACATGACTCGAAATGCAGAAAAACAAAAATTTTTGTCATTTTTAGTGGAGGATACCGACTTTCTCTCGAAAAAGAAAGACGCAAAAAAAGAATGAAGCGAAGTTTTTGAAGGTGCATGTTGAATGAGCTTAATCCGTTAACGTTGTCTCTCATAGTACAAGGATTGTAACATCTTAGACTATCCTAATTGACTCGATAATGAAAGTTTTTAGGTCACTTAGGCGTGGAGGCTAAGTACTTCATACTTCGTGATGCAATGATGATTGATGTTGATATGACAAGGCATGCTTAGCGTTGTGTTAAGATTTCATGACAAAGGGTTCCTAAGTGAAGTATATTTGGTCATGTATCTGTGCAGTGTGTGAAAGTGACACTAAAGTTAGGTCGCAAAGGCTAAGTATGTGGAAAAATATATATTGAAAAGAGTCAAATGGTGGTGACTCTTAGGCTGGGTAGGCTAATGATGTAGGGATCAAGCCCCCAAGTCT